CGAATCGGTTTGGCGGTTTTAAATTTTATAAATTTTCAACATAGTTCAACTTGTGCACTTCCTCAAAAAAAAAAAAGTATTACAGTCAATGACTTAAAAAAGTATTACAATTACTGCATGCATCATCCAAAGAAAGAAAGTTTGAAACTTTAGAATATCACAATCACTGCATGCCTTATCTACATAAAATATTACAATATGTGGTTCTTAAAATATAAAAACAATTCAAACTATCAAAACCATGAGCAGAACAATAGTAGAGATTGTATGTCTCTATATTGTTACATTTATATATGTTTTTGAAAACAAAAACCAACCAGCATATGTGATATTTTCTATTTATTACTTTTAAAATTAGATTTAAAAACTAAAAAATATAGATAAATAATATGTTTATTATTTTCAATTCGAAAAATATATCCAAGTTAAAAACTTTTCTTCAACAGAATATTTGAACTCTTTGTCAATTGAAAATACAAACAAAATATTTAAATAAATTGAAAACACAAAGTCTTATAAATTACTAAGGGTGCTCGCGGTTTGGCGGTTCAGTTGCGGCCAAGGGAAGTTCAAATCCGCCATCTGTCCGCCAAATTGGCGGATTGGAGAAAATCAATCCGCAACCGTCCGCTTGTCATCACGCATCCGTCCAAAATGCAGCGAATCGATTCGGTTCAATCGATTTTGACGGATCGATATATCCGCTGCTCACCCCTAATCTCCGTCCATTCATAATCTCTGTCCTTGGTGATCAAATTATTGCATGCATCCTATCAATCTAGTTGTGTGGCTGTTATAATAGGGGGGAATTATTGATCGGTGGAATAAAAAAAAAATTATTTACAAAAGGATAAAAAAATTATATTAATAATTATTAATATTTATAATATTTACTATTTTTTTAAGTAATTTTCTCTATTCCCACTGATCAGTAATACCCCCTTATAATAAATGTCATAAAAAATAAAAATAAAAATAAAAAGAAAGAAATTCTGCTCATTTGAATATATGTGCATATGATAAGATTCTCTCATGTAGATCAAATTATTAGGATTCTAAGAGATTTGTAAAGGAGTCGTAGTATTTTTGTTACTACAAATTTTGCTTTTCATACTTTTTCATTGCATTAATAATGATATAGACTGAATTTTAAAATTATGTATTTTATTTTTGTTATTTTAATATTTGATTATAATTATTATTTAAGATCAAAATCTTTAGTTTTATATTTATTTAGGTTTTTCTTTCGTTTATTTCCTTATCTTACAAAAATTAAGATTGCTTGATTTATAATAATTATTTTTATTTTTCTTTTAATCTTAGTCATGTGGCTCTTATAATTTCTGTTATAATTAGTCATGAAATCAATGATAAATCTAAGAATTGCGAGTTGAACCTAAATCATGATCCTAAGCTTAATGTTTTCCTAGGCCATGTTTGTAAAAATCATAGATATCTGTTTGTATGTTTTTGTTTTTGTTTTTGTTTTTATTTAAGTTTAAATATGAATGTGACTATCTAATGAAAAAAATTAAGGCGATCAAATAATTATTAATCTTTTTATTTTATTGTGTTGCCTCTAAAAAATGAATAATTTATTTTTAAAAATACATTTATTATCTTTTTTTTTTTTTTTTGGACTGCCAAACAGGATATTTTTACAAAAAATACTCCCTCCGTCCCAAAATATTAGTCCCTTATTCCATTTTTCATTGTCCCAAAATATTAGTCTCTCTTCAAAAATCAAGTACAAAAATAATATAAATTTCCTATTTTACCCTTCTTTTAAATTAATAAACAACATAAAAAGTACAATTATGCATTGATATTCCCAAAAAATGTACTATCAAAAGGATAATTTTGGAAACTCAACTTTTTTCAAATGCAATAATTGTACTACCAAAAAAAGTTGAATTCCCCAAAAGAGACCATTATTTTGGGACGGAGGGAGTAGTACGATCTAAGAAAGAGGATACTGGGCTTGAGATAACCACTTAAAAGAGTGATGATGTAGAGAAAAAAAGAAAAACAAAAGGCTAGCACAAAATATCACATAACAATGGGATCAATCACAATTAGAACTCACTAGGGCTTTTTTTTTTTAAACTCTCGATCAATTTTGAAAGTTATTTATCTCGCAAGTCCATGGATAACAATAGTTAAGCCATCGTTTGGCATGTTGGTTTTAGGGGTTAAAATAGTCATAAGAAGATAAAATAAATTAAAAAGTTAATAAAATAAAATGTCAAATTCAAATCATAATCGTTTTATTTTTTCTCTTACAAAAGTTAAAAAAATCAAAAAATCTAACTTAAAATAGACTTTTTAACCCTAGGCTAAAATAACAAAAAAAATCAAAAAGACAAAAGCCAACCCACTTCCCAAACGAAGCCTAAATGATGGGAAAAAATAGTAAAATCATAAAGGAGAATGATCTCTTTCAGTCCAGATTTTGGGCTAGAGGGCACTGTTTGGCCTCTTTGGGCCCACCACGGGTCCCGTTTCGATGATTCAAACTATTCATTTTGTTGGGTATTTCGTATATTTCATCCACAAAAAAAATTAGGCTGATCCGATAATTGTAATTTGTTCAATTTTTCACTACAAAAATAGATAACAATAGTGTTTTAAAAAATAAATAATATTTTTTTTTTAGTGACAAACGCACTAAATTGAACAAGTTACAATTATTAAATTGACTTAATTTTTTTTGTGAACAAAATACGCAAAATGTCCAACAAAATGAGATATTCAAATTATTGAAATACTGCCCATGATAGACTCCACATGCCCAAACAACACCTCCTAGCTCAAAATCTGAATTGGGGATCTTCCTCCAATCTTACATAGATTGGTGTGAACACGTGTAAATGTATTAGAATTGGTAGGCATATGCAGTGCGTGATCAAGATTGTAAAATGTATAATTAAATTATAAATTTAAAAGTGGAAACATTTTATAAATTTAAAAAATCAACAAATTGGGTAACCACATAATTGGCGAAAAACAAATTGAATGTAACTATTGAGTAGGGGTGAGCAGCGGATATATCGATCCGCCAAAACCGACCGAACCGAACCGATCCGCCACATTTTGGACGGATGCGTGATGACGAGCGGACGGTTGCGGATTGATTTTCTCAAATCCGCTAATTTGGCGGACGGATGACGGATTTGAGATTTTTTGGCCGCAACCGAACCGCCAAACCGCCAAACCGCCAAATCACGAGCACCCCTAGTAATTTATAAGACTTTGTATTTTCAATTTGTTTAAATATTATGTTTGTGTTTTCAATTGAAAAAGAGTTTAAATATTTAGTTGAAAAAAAGTTTTCAACTAGAATATATTTTTTGAATTGAAAAAAATAAACGTATTATTCATATATATTTTTTAGTTTTTAAATGTAACTCTAAAAATAATAAATAGAAAATATGATATATGCTGGTTGGTTTTTGTTTTCAAAAACATATGTAGATGTAACAATACAGAGACATTCAATCTCTACTATTGCTCTGTTCATGGTTTTGGTGGAATGAATTGTTATTATATTTTAAGAATCACAGATTGTAATATTTTATGGGGATGAATCATGCTGTGATTGTAATATGTGGATGAGGCATGCAGTGATCGTGATATTCTAAAGTTTCAAACTTTTTTTCTTTGGATAAGGCATACAATGATTGTAATACTTTTTTAAGTCATTGACTGTAATACTTTCTTTTTCTTTTTTTTCTTTTTTTTTTTATTTGAGGAAGTGCACAAGTTGAATTATGTTGAAAATTTATAAAATTTTAAACCGCCAAACCGATTCGCATCCATCCGCCAAACCGCCAATCCGCTCAATCCACATCCGCCGGATTGGCGGACGGATGCGGATTGATTTTCTTCAATCCGCCAATCTGGCGGACGGATGGCGGATTGGAGGTTCCGTGGCCGCAACCGACCCGCGCCCACCCCTACTATTGAGATATTTTTAAAAAATCACGAACCATAAACTCCAACAATAGAATGCTTAAATCGTTTCAAGTTACATAAATTTAAGGGTGAATTTTTTTCCAGTGACAGAGAATAATTTAGATCAAATTTTAAGGGAGAGGATTCAAAGGATCTTGAATCTTATTCATCTTATCAAGTTAGTTCTGCACCACCACAGGGCCCAAACTCGGTGATGATATTGTAATCGCGGATGCTAGGATTATGGAGATTTATGTCCGGCGTGTTCTGTTGGGATCTGGGATCCCGCCCAAGACCTTATAAAAATTATTTAATGCAGAAAAAACACACCCACACTCAAGGAGACACAATATTTAACATGGTTCGGCCTCAATGCCTACATCCACGGGAGAGTAGCCGGTTATCGCTATAACAATGGAGATATTACAAAAAGATTACAATAGAGGAGGAGCTCACACTCTCCTCACTCACCCACTCACCCGTCTCCCTCGCTCACACCGAGGGAGACGGTCTCTCTGCCTCACATATTTCACTCTCTGTGGCTTGCTCTACACTCACACACAAACCCTCCCCTTAGCCTCCATTTATACTCAATCAGAATGGAGATGGAGAGGCTGGCCTTGCATATGGCCAGCTATCTTGTGTGCTGGCTTCACATGGCCAGCTCATGCAGCACATGGAGGATCACCCCTCACATGGGGTGATGATATTCCACATGTTCATTATTGAGGATGTATTTTAGCCCACAAAGCCTCATTCGCTTAGTTAGAGGAAGACTATTTACCGATTCGCGAATAGTCTTGTCCGCGAAGCAGAGAATAGGAATTCGAACCAGAAAACTTGCACACGGAACGAGAGTTCACGAGAGGAGCCCATTGAAGGGACGTGCACAAATGACTTTTTTTTTTGTCTTTTTTTCTTTTTTTAAGGTTATACATATCTGAATTTTTGATTAAGATTATTATTTAAAACCTATAATTTTATTGGAATAGTATTAGATTTTTCTGTTCATGTTGTCTGCAACACATCTATAAATAGATGTGCTCTGGGTTCACTTCCCACTCACCCAAAAACATCTCGTTTCTCTCTACCATCCCCACAAGATCTTGTTTGTGATTAAAAAAATAAAAACCTATATCATATCATCATCTATCTATCCCACCATGATCACCATCCATTTTCTCACTCATTTCCTAGCAATTACAGCGCTTGTACCACTCTTGCTCCATTTCTATTTCCGGAGAACCAAACACGCCAGTGAAAAAAACAAGAGCAGCAGAGCCCCTGAGCCATCAGGGTCATTGCCCTTGATAGGTCACCTCCATCTCCTCAGGGGTGAAAACCCCATTTCCAGGACCCTTGGAGCCATGGCCGACAAATACGGACCCGTTTACTCGCTCCGGTTGGGTGGGCGTCGCCGAGCATTGGTGGTGAGCAGTTGGGAAGCAGTGAAGGATTGCTTCACCACCAACGACACGGTGTTTGCGACTAGACCGGCTCTGGCGGTGAGCAAGAATTGGTATGACAACGCGGTGTTTGCGATAGGACCTTATGGAGATTATTGGAGAAATGTGAGGAAGATTGTGACTCTGGAGCTGTTGACGAACCACAGGCTTGAGAAGCTCAGGCATGTTCGGGAATCCGAAGTCAACTTGTGCATTGCTGATCTTCACTTGCTATGCATCAACAATGGTGGCCTGCCCACCCAGGTAATGCTTAAATTTTCACTTCAGTAATCCTAAATTTTTTTTAATACTTACTAAAAAAAATTACATTACAACAGTAATTCTTATATTTTGATTTTTGTATCATTTTAATCAATGTAATTTTAATTAACTCGATTTCAATATTGAATTTATCACTTTGTTTCAATTTAATCCAACTACAACTGTTTCACTTAATAGAAAAATAACATATTTTCACTTCAATAATCCATGCCACTTATGTGCAAACTTGAATTTATCACTTTGTTTCACTTAATAGAAAATATGCACATAAGTGGCATGTATTATGATTTTAAGAGCAAAATTACAAGTTTACTCAATTCAGTGTGTTAATCTTAACCAATTAAGTGATTAATTTTTTTTTATTAAAAACACTAATAGCGTTATCAATTACACTAAATTAACATAAAATCTTGAGGATCCAAATTGAGTCAATTGAAAATATAAAAACTAAAATAACACAAGAAATAAAATGTAAGGACTATTAGTGTAATTTGTCCAAATTACAAAAAGAAATCAAGCCATTTGTTATTAGAACTATTTAAGATAGTAACCTATTCATTTTAAAATTCAATAAATTTTATTAATAAAAAGTGATTTTAGCCATAATTTTTTTTTTTTTTTAAAAAAAAAAGTCAAACAAAATGAGATGTCAAAAATAATTTTGAAATAACAGGGCTGGCAGGGTGGTTAAGGTTTAGAGTTCGGGATGTGCTTTAGGTTCTAAATCTCGTAACAGTAAAAAAAATTTTCGAGTCAACCCATACGAGGCTGAACTTTGATTTGCCAATCCGTGTGAATTTTATATATAATTTTTCTGTTAGTATATGATTATTCTATATTCATTATAGTTGAGCTTGTGATGACTAAAACCCCAACAGGTAACCATGAACAAGTGGTTTGATCACTTGACATTCAACGTGATAGTGAGAATGCTAGCCGGAAAGCGATTTTCTGGTAGCACTACAACTCACAGCGAAGACGAAGAGGGTCATAAGATCAAAGAAGCCATCAAGAAAGCTCTGTACCTCGGCGGTGTTTTCGTGGTTTCAGATGAAATTCCATGGCTGGAATGGTTCGATTTTGGTGGGCACCTGAAAGCTATGAAGCAGACTTTGAAGGAAGTCGATGAAGTTCTTGGAAGTTGGTTAGAGGAGCATATTCAAAAGAAGAAGAGAATGGAATTGGAGGGTAGTGATGGTGGTGGTGATCAAGCTGACTTCATAGATGTGATGCTATCAGTCCTTTCAGAGGACACTATGATGGGTGGCCACGATCGTGACACCGTCATCAAGGCAACAACCATGGTACCGCACAATCTATTCTATCATGCATTTTCAATATCAGAAATTAGTTTCAATAATTTATCAATGGGTCCAACTTGTCTCAAGTTGAGATTAAGACTGGACCGTCCAGTTCAGTTTATGGGACTTATTTTTTGGACTCATTTTAATAATCTGAACCGTTTAATATGTAGAACTCGTCGAGTACTATATACCTGTAAAAAATCATTTTGATCGGATATCAATAACTATATGATCAAATCAGTTTTGTATAAAAAAAATAGACGGTAAAAAAATTAACGATTGATAAAAAACTGTTTTGTTCATATAGCTATCGATATCCGATCAACGTGATTTTTTACAAGCATATAGTACTTGACGAGTTCTACACATTGAACGATTCGGATTATCAAAATGAGACCCGTGGTGGGCCCCTATGGACCCAATAACATGGTCTAATCCGATCTTGAACTGGACCAAAGTCACTGCCTTTATGAATAGTGCTGCCCACTTAAAACAGAATTGTACAAAAATAAATTAATTTTAATTTATTTTTATTGTGACACATCACCTCCAATATAACTCTACATGATATAAACGAGCAGAGGCAAGTCCACTACATAGGAGGTGTTTGTTTCAGCTTTTTAGAGTCAATTTATGACTTTTAGCTTTGAAAAAGTTATTTTGGACTATTTGGTTAAACTTATTTCAAACAGCTTTTGATTCTAACAGCTTATTTTAACTCAAAAAAGCTGATTTTGATAAGCTGCTCACCCCTTGCTTCTGATTATCAGCTTCTGCTGTGGACATGTTAATTTATGGTTATATTCTTAAATTTTTTTATTTTTTATTTTTTATTTTTTTAAAAATAGAAAAAGACTAAAATGGACTATAAATTATTATTATTATTTTTTATGAGAAATGTAGACAAACAAAAAATAAAAATTAATTGAAAAAGTTATTTCACAGCTTATTTAACAAACACTACTCGGCAACTTAAATCTATAATCTAACAGTTACACCAAACAGATTAACAACTTCTGATTAAAGTCATAATCTGTAATCTGTTAAGTTATAATTTATAAGCTGTTTTAACAGCTACACCAAACGGGCCATAGTAGTTGTTTACGCTTGAATTAGGGATGCAATTCCCACAATGAGAAGTTGTGTCAACCCAACTTGTATTGTAGTATTCAAATATGAATTTGTTTGTCAAAACCCAATTGGGATTTTTGGGGTAGCTATTGTGCTGGACACAATAACTACTGTTTACAGTCAAATTGGCTCATTTTGAGACCCATTTTAATTCAAATCATTCACATTTTAGAATAAATTGAATAGAACATGTCTGCAAAATATCAAGTTAATCGGATTTCGTCAATCTTTTCATCTACTCACATTTATTTTTGTAGATACAAATGTGAGTGTATGAAAGAGTTAACGATATTCGATTAACTTGATTTTTTGCAAGTATGTTGTACTCGATATACTCTAACATGTGAACGGTTCGAATTATCAAAATGGGCCCCGAAATAAGCTCATTTGGCTACTACTGATTATCAAAATAGGCCTGGAAATAAGCTCATTTGGCTGCTACTATGTCCCCAGCACAACAACCACCCCAAATCCAACAAATTGAACTCAAACTAGATTTAAATTGTTCAAAATTTAAATGTTTTTTTTTCTTCAATTAGAATAATTAATATGTTAAAGTTAGAATCTTTAACATTTTTAGTAAAATCATTAATAATATCAAAACTTATAATTTATATGATGAAAAAAAACAATTTTAGAGAAAATATAGTAAATTTTACAAATTTAATATTACATTGAGCGTTCTTAAAGTCTGAATTTACCTAACATTTAATCCACTTTCCGAAACTGCATATTTTGCCTCATGAGAATTTATTATTCTTCTTAATTAGAAAGAATCATTACAAATCCATATCTAATACTTTGGAATGCAGATGATTACAATCGGTCCTATCCTTTTAAAATAATTTTAAAAAAATCAGTATAATTATGTTTGTAAAACTAATTACATTTTCCCTAAATTTCATGAAAAGGTAGCATACATAATTTACTCAAACCTTAAATATGGAAATTTATTTTTATCACGGTTCATATGCCTTTTGCTCCGTTTAATATGATAAACCCTTTTGTAATCGCAATTCAACAACTACTTTGGCAGATTCTAATCATGACTGGCTCAGAAAGCACAGGCGATACACTAATTTGGGCTCTCTCCCTACTCCTAAACAACCGCCAAGCTCTAAAAACTGCACAAGCAGAGCTCGACGCTCAAGTAGGAAGACACAAATGGGTTCAAGAATCAGACATTCAAAACCTCAAATACCTACAAGCCATAGTCAAAGAAACACTGCGCTTATACCCACCAGGCCCCATATCAGGACCTCGCGAGGCCATGGAAGACTGTCGAGTCGGCGGCTACAGAGTCGACAAGGGAACTCGATTGATCGTCAACCTGTGGAAGTTGCATAGAGATGAGCGAGTTTGGTCCAATCCAGAGGAGTTCGAGCCCCAGAGATTTTTGAAAGAGCATGCTGATGTGGGGTTCAAGGGTCAGCAGCATTTCGAGTACATTCCGTTTAGCTCTGGGAGAAGAATGTGCCCTGGTCTTACGTTTGGGTTGCAGTTGGTTCAGTTGACGCTTGCGAGGTTGATTCATGGGTTCGATTTGGGGACGCCGATGGAGGAGAAGGTGGATATGACGGAGGGTTTGGGGATTGCTCTGCCGAAGGTGAAGCCTCTCGAGGTCGTCCTCACGCCGCGGCTTCCTTCGGAGGTCTATCAGAGCCTCGTAGTATGATTTTAAATAACAGTATCAAAATAAAAAAATTTCAGATGGGATCGAAATAAAAATATTTGGAGAAGATAAATGTAGTGTTTCTGATATAGTTCTATGAGGAGTGCAAATTATGCGTTTTATTTTGATGGGATCGAAACAAAAATGTTTGGAGAAGATAAATGTAGTGTTTCTGATATGGTATTATGATGAAATAATCTTTCGTGCAATATGTAAAAGGCGAATTTCTTGTTTTCTAAAATGTATTTGTTTTAGGTTTAAATTATAAAAACAGCAATGTTAGGTATCATGAAAAATCTTTCATGAAAATAATCATGAAAACTTTGTGACCCTTGGATTACACTTAGAATAAAACGCCACACACTAATCAAGGTAATCCAAAATCATAAATTTTTCATGATCATTTTCATAAATTTTTTTTCATGATCCCTAACTTTTCTCTTATAAAAAATGTTATGAAAGAATTTTCATGCTTGTATTACTCTTTGTAACTTATTGCATATGTAATTTAAGGATCAAAAAAAATTTATGATTATTTTTATGAAATATTTTTTACGATACCTATCATTGCTCTTAAATTATCTACTTAAACACCAATTATAAGATTAGTGTAAAAATTGTTTATTATTGATGATCTTAATTACTTTGTTATTTGTTTGAAGATCTATATTAAGAAACATATAGTGATGAAGAACAATATTGAGAACTACTTATATGTGATCACTTACAATAATTCTTCCAGTTTCTTCACCTCCTTATATGATTTCGGATGTGAATTCTGTTAAGTTTTATCTTGTGAATTATCTTTGTATTTATATTGATATTTAAGTGTTTAGGTTAATTTTAGCACATCTCAATTAATTTTAAATTTTTAAAATTAACAATCAGATAATATACATGTTAACAACTTAAGCAGGTCATTCACATATTCATATACAAATCTCTCCCAAATTTCATAATTGGGCAGCAATTCTCCACAACATTTTTATTTGACTAAAATATATACACAGAATCAAATTATCAAAAATGTACATGTTGGCATCATATTCTTGGGCCATTTTTAGGCCACCTACCTTCATCTACTTATGTGGCCAAAACCCAATCGTCAACTGTATTTGGGGTGTTTGGAATGATATAAATAAATATATTTTTTGAATTTTATGAAAACATATATAAAAAAAAAAGTAGAGAAGTGATGTGATTTAGTTTATGCTAAATAGTACCTTAGTAAGTACCTATCAAATACTTTTATAACACATTTTCCTAGGAAAAAAATTGGCCATGTTTGATTTGTATTCGTGAAATAATTTTGAAAAAGAATTTTTTAAAAAGAATTTATAAAATTTGAAATTTTATTTAGTTATTTATTGTAGTTTTGGAATTTGAGATGATTTATTTATTAATTGTAGTTTAATAGAGAAATGTAAGAGAAAAAGTAATTGATTGATGGATAAAATATGAGAGAAGGACAGAGGGAAAAATTATTGTTTGCTCCCGGTGCTCCCGGGCAAGCTAAGGTGGTGCTCCAACTTAGTTGTTATTTGGTTGAATTAGTGGGATCCACCACATTTTGATCTTTGCTTAGGAGACAATGAGACACTTGTCCCTCAATAAATGGTGTAGAACAATACTCTAAGATCAACCAATAACTTCTCGGAGAGAGGAGAGAGAAATAGTGATTAATGATGTATAGTAAAAAGAAAAATAATTATAAAAAAACCTTTAAAAACTTTTAACCAAATAAATTTTTAAATTCTTTTTTCAAATTTGTCTCGCAAGAGACAAACCCAAGAGGGCCACTACGTTTCAAAGAATACATTCTCTTTCTTACCATGATTAAACGCATACGATTGATTAAATTGTTTTTAAGATATTGTTGGACTGGTTTGATTTAATTCTAAAGTAAATCACGAATCAAGTAATGGTCATTTTACGATCAGCGTATATGCTTATGTCTTCTGAAATTTGCATGTTGAAATTGATATTGAGATATGCATAATAAAAATACTAATAATAATAAATTGAGATTAGATTTACATGCTAACAAGTGGTTGATCTAATTTTCTGTGGTTTTCTAGACTAGATGGTGTTTTATAACCACTTTTTTAGCAGAATAATAGGAGATAACACTTCGGTTATTGATAGGTAAAGAATAGGTGAACTTACTTTTTCTATTAGCTTAATGTTAGACTTTGGGGAGACTTGTTAGACATTATGATATTAATTTTAGAATGTAAAATATATACACCTGAAATTAGTTGGAGTAATGTACCAAACATTCTCGTAAGAAAATAAAATGAAAAAGAAAATTGTGCATTTATCTGAAAACGAGGCAGATGATGAAATAAAATTTGACAGAAATTAAAATATTAGTAAATGTTTGGATAAATTGAAAAGTTAAAACTGATTTAAAAATAATTAAATATTGAATTTACTTCCTCATGATTTTTTTGTGAGCTCCAATTCGGATTTGCACCGATAATTAGAATAGTCTATTTCATAGGCTTTATATTAAGGGATTGTTTAGGATGTTCTAAATAAGTGCACTTTTTAACTTTTTAGATTAAAAAGTTGAGAAAAAAATATGGTTGCTTGGGTTAATTTTTTAACTTTTTATGAAAAAATGTGTATTAAAAAATTGTATAAATTAGTGTGTAGAGAAAAATTAGGATTAGTAGTTGTGCAGCCGTAATTTTTGACTTTTGATAAATAGTGATAACTTTTTAACTTTTTGACCACATGCCAAACTTGGCCTAAATGTTCTCTATGTGAAAAAATCTACTTTACTTGCCTACGAGATAGGTGGTTTGGGTTATTAGTGCAAGTTCGAATTGAGATACACAAGACTTATATGGAGGGATATAAAGAGAGGAAGATACGAAAAGAAACTCATTTCAAAGATAGAACGTGAACTATTCGAATTATTGAAACGTAGACCCAAAACCTGTTAAATTGGAGTGATTATTTAGTGACTTTGTAATATTGTTCTACACCATTTATTACTTGACATTTGATAAATCATTCTTAAATACCAAACAAAAATCAAAAATGCTAGAGGCTCCAAAAATTCTACTAAAAGTTTTACCAAATGTCTCACATGGTTGTGGGACCCACATGGGACCCACATTGTGTGGGTCCCACACCCATGTGAGACATTTGATAAAACTTTTGGTAGAATATTTGGGGTCTCTAGCATTACTCAACAAAAATTAATGAGTGCTATTATTTTAATCAATAAATATCAAATTAAAACACCACATGACATTAGTGTGTTTGGTTTCAATTTTCTAGAAATTGAGTTTTTTTATTTTTTGGTATTTTTTTTATTTTTAGTGAATATTTTTAAAATTTTCATAAATTTTTTTAGAATCACTTTACTTAGATGTATCTAAAAAGTAATATATTTGTAAAAAATAATTTTAAAAATTAATAAATACACAAAAATATGAAAAATATATTGAATTCATGTATTTTTTTTTATATATTTTTATATATTTTTGGTATTTAGGTCTTGTTTGGGGACTACATGTTTTAGTCAAAAAATTACCATAAGTTGTCACATTACTCTCTTTATTTTTCTATGCATTTTTTTTTATAAAAAGTCAAAAAATTACTAAAATAGCCTACTTCCAAATCAGGCTTTAGTAAAATTTTTAAAAAAAATTCTCACAAATATTATATTTTTAAGTATATTTCTGTTGAGTGTATTTAAAAATTAAAAAAAATACTTAAAATATTAAAATAATTTAATAAAAACAAAAAAATATAAAATTTTAATTTTTTTGAAAAGTGAACCTTGAAAATTTAAATTAAACTAACTGGTTGTTTTTAATAAGGAAAAAAAATAATTTTATATTTAAATTGAGAGAGGCATAACCAGTATGAAAAACTTGACAACTAAAATCTCGTCAGCATATCTGCTGGAATGTTTTATTTCCGAAAAAGAGAGTCCAAAAATATCAACAAAAAAAAAAAGTCAAAAATCCTAAATTAAATGTCAAAATCAGAGACCAACGTACGCAATAATCGTGGTAATCAATCTGTAATCTCAAAGAATAAGAAAGAATATACATGTCAACAGGTCACAGGTCCGCCATTAAAAGACACGTTAAATGCCCCGTAATGTAATCCCACCACCACCAAACTGCATTGCGCGCTTCGTGTCTTCCGAAACTCTTCTCTCATTCCCATTTTGTGACACCAAATCTCTCCTTCTCTCTCTACAATTTCTCTCTCTGTATCTCATTGTTTTTCATTCTCTCTCTCTCTTTCTCTCTCTCTCTCTCTCTCTCAATCTATTCGAATCAATGGGGAGGAGGAGGAGTTCGCCGGTGAACAAGCTGTTCGCATGGGTAAGGAGGCAATCGATGAAGGTGAAGACCTTCCTAGCCTTCACGTCTGTCTTGTTTTCACTTGTCGCCCTCAAACTTCTCATCAGAGATCACAATCACTTCTTCATCGCCTCTGAAGCCATTCATGTCGCCGGAATCATGGTCTTGATTTACAAGCTAACCACTCAAAAGACCTGCTCTGGTATATCCCTCTCTATATATTACGATTTTTTTTTTTTAAATTTTTTATGAATTGAGTGTTTAGGCTAGCTTACGCATACTTCAACTAATCTCGAGACCCACACAAAACACCTCCTCCACGTGGATTAGGAAAATCTCTGGCTGCTCTGGTATATCCCTCTCTATATATTACGATTTTTTTTTTAAAAATTTTTTATGAATTGTCAATTTTTGTTGTACACGATTGAGGCTTCTTTTTTTTTTTAAAAAAAAAAAAAATTAAATTTAAATTGGGGCTTTAAAGTATATTCCTTTATTTTATTTATTTATCGGGTAAATTACACTTTTTACCCATGTGATTTGAGTCTAGTTTCAATTTAATTCTTTCATCTAATTTTTTTTAATTTTTTTCTACACCAAAATTGTTAATTTTAATCTTAAACTTGAGCGAAATGGAAAGATCAAATTAAAATTGAACTTAAAAAGTAGAGATTTTTAAACTAAAGCAGTGACCAAATTGAAATTTGGGTGAAACTGCTGGTATGATACAAAGGGGTTTACCTTTTTTAGCGTTCAATACTAGGCCTCGTTTGGGAATAGGCTAATTTAATAATTTTCTGACTATTTGGTTAAAATATGAATTTAAAAAAACTAGTGTGTTTGAGATAATTTTTTGACTTTTTACAAAAAAATATACAAAAAATAGAGAGAAAAAAGAATTTTTGACTTTTTGATATGAGTTGTTGACTTTTTGAATAATTTTTTGACTTTTTTACTAAACCGGCAATTTGCCAAACTAAAATTGGACTTAAAAAAAGTAGGGATTAAACTTTTAAACTGAAGCAGTGACCAAATTGAAATTTGGGTCAAACTACACGGTATGATACAGAGGGGTTTACCTTTTTTTAGTTTGATATATTCATGCATGTATATTTGGGTTAGAGAGACATCTGGTAGTATATTTTTTAGTATAATCACAAACTTTTTCTTTAAATCTACTACCAAATCCAGCGTTCTCATGAAAGCCCTTTCTAAAATTCACCTTTCTTTGACTAGTTTTACGTTAAAAGGCAATGCTTGGTTTTAGTTTTTTGAATTCGGTTTTTTGAAAATTTAAGTATTTCGTTTTTTGTATTTTTTTATTTTTTTTTAGTTTATATTTTTAAAATTTTAAATAATTTTTAAAAATTTTTAGATGTACTTTACTTAGATATATATCTAAATAGTAAAATATTTGTGAAAAAATATTTTAAAAAATTAATAAATACACAAAAATATAAAAAAAAATGTATTGAATTTTCGTATTTTTTGAGATTTTTTTCACAAATATTATACTTTTTAAGTGTATTTATGTTAGGTGTGTCTAAAAATTAAAAAACAATTGCTTAAAATATTAAAAAAATTCATTGAAAACATTAAAATACGAAAAATAAGAAAATAAAATTTTCTGAAACTGTTTTTTGGAAAACCAGAACCAACCAGCTAAATGTTGTTATTTTTCTATTGTGAAATACGACTAAAACATGTTGGCTGGGTTTATCAGTCTGTGGTAATAACCACAAAAGCACCAACTTTTATTCTAATCTCCTAATGGGCTTCAACATTATTTTCACTCTTTAATACTTTCTGCACTAATTATTGTTTGCTTACCATCAATAAAATAGATAATGAAGTGGACCTCCCTTGAGATTTGAGCAAATTAGAGATAACCCCATAGTTTTGGCATAATTACATTGTGTTGTCCTAAATTTTAATTCGTATGACAGATTGCCCCACATGACTTCACATATTTCGTTAATGCGCCATTGATAAAGTAACGACAAATATAAGGGTAAAAGGTAATCTGATAAAGATATAGAAAGGTAAAAAGGCAATTTGACATCCTCAATTAACTCTGTGTAGACTGCTGTTGTTGGAGGGGATGCGTGTGTAATTGAGTCAAAACTGTGGTGCTAGTTGTAATTTCTCCAAACCTCAAGGGTGATTAATGTAAAGTTAAATAGATAATTGTAGTCTAATATGTTCATGTTGAAATGTAGCAGAAGTTGAGATTCTATGATGTATCACTATCCTAAAAACATACATATTATTTATCTATTTGTCATGGTATATATGGTCTCGATTGTTCACATAATTGGATTTCTCTTTGTTCTTTTAGGCCTTTCACTGAAGACTCAAGAACTTACAGCTATATTCCTGGCTGTGAGATTGTACTGCAGTTTTGTCATGGAAGGTGACATCCACACAGTGCTCGATTTTATCACACTTGTCTCCACTTTGTGGGTTATATACATGATGAGGTTCAAGTTGAAATCAACCTACACTGCAGAGCTAGACAACTTTGCCATATATTATATGGTAAGCACTTTTTTCATGATTCATCTTTATATATGGTTGCGTAGAACACAGAATATTGTTTCTGTATGCAGTCATTTAAATCTTAATGTAATTCCATGCTTGTTCATTTTTCATGCCCTGTTTTCATCATTAATTTGACGCTTCTCAAATGTTAAGCTTACCTATGGGATGTTAAAGACACCATCCTCCTCAGTTAGGAACTTGTTATGCTATGTAATGCTAAATTACATTGTTTTTATACACAAATTGATTCTTCATCTATGGTTTGTAATTTTGTTTAGGACCTTATCTTTCTTCTTCCTATATGGTAATTATTGTCGAGATTTTCCATCCTTAATTGTAGTAAGAAGTGCAGACAATATTTTATCTGATGTCACATAGAGAGAAAAGGAGTATTGCATCAATGACACAAGGATTTTTGCAATCCATTCTATGGGTTTGTTTTATCTTTTTGGATGTTTTGAAATTTGAATATGTTGTTTTATGGTTAATTGCTGGTCTCTAGTGTTTTTGCTTGAGATCTGAGTTTTCATGAGAAGAAATGGTGTCATACCGTTGTTGCTATTCTCAAATCAGTTTTCTGCTCAAAGAAGTTGGGATGCTGCTACTCACTCTGGAGATTTATTACCTTTTCTCCATATGTTTGACAGATAATTCCTTGTGCCATTCTTGCCGTACTTTTCCATCCATATACACATCATTCATATATCAACCGAATCCTTTGGGCATTTGCCGTGTACCTGGAATCTGTTTCAGTGCTGCCTCAACTTCGTTTAATGCAGAATGCAAAGGTTTGTGTTGGCTGACTTACATCTCTTTCCAAATCAGTGTTTTATAAATCTATGAGAAGAAAAATTAATTTTTTTCTGACCAAATGCCTTTTCAGATGGTTGAACCATTTACAGGCCATTATGTATTTGCATTGGGTGTTGCAAGATTCTTGGGTTGTGCTCATTGGATCATTCAGGTTAGTCTTCATGTATCATGTTCTTGCAGGCATATATTCAGGGTTTATTTTAGCAGATACCATTCATCATAAACATGTGTAGATTATGTAGAAACTCTTTATAATAGAGGCACACAATGGGTTGGCCCCAACATTGGGGAAAAAGCCATATTAGTTTTATTTCTGTTTTTGTTAAGGGACAATTTTGACTCAATTATCCTTCCCATGACTTCATTTCCCAATTTTAGGTCCAACTTGATTAAGTGGTCCTAGAAGTATTTTCATTGGGATTGATGTGATAGTTTTGGTAGTCAGATGGAGAGAGGGGCTGCAAACCTTAAATAGATGCAAAAATAAGAAATTTTAATGTCATCAAGGTCAAACAATAAGAGTTTGTACATTCAAATGATGAGTTTGAAAGAAATAATAAAACAGTAAATAATCTTGTTATGAGTCTTTTAGTCTTCACTATTAATCCACCTTTATTAAACATACAGGTTTATGATACTGCTGGTAAATATCTGTACTTGGTTGGAAGTGGGTACTTTTGGTTACCAATGGCTCTCATCTCGGAAATCGTTCAAACGTTCATCTTGGCCGACTTTTGTTACTACTACGTCAAGAGGTGAGCCCTTTATTTTCTACTGTCCACTATTTATTCTAAATTTCAACTTCAACACTAGATCAATTACATACTTACTAACATGTGCTATGCTTTTGGTTGCATTTTTTGATATGCAGTGTTGTGAACGGCCAACTTCTTATGAGCTTACCTCCAGTCTAGAATTCTGACTTCGAACTTTGGTTTTGCAACAATGTAAATTTTGCTTTCTAATGCTGCCTTTTAAATTTAAACCTATAGAAGTATCAAACTGTACTTCTCCTTTTTAATTTCGATGAATCGTGATGCTTTTTTTTTTCACCCTTTTCTCTCCTTTATGTCATATTGTCGATTTGGTTTGTGGGTTACATTCATATCATGAGATGCCTTCTAGTTACCAAACTGCTTTGTTATTTATTTCTGCCGTTGTGTGTTGTTCACGTTGGCTTCAGTTTTCTCCCATGATATGTTGATTTTTGAAGTATAAGAGAATCATCCATCAGTTATGTTGGATTATAATGAGCTAGGGTGCTCGTGGTTCAGTTGCGGTCGGAGAATTTTCAATTTGTCATCCGTCTGTCGGATTGGTGGATTGAAAAAAATTAATTCACATCTGTCCACCGAATTGGTAGATGCGAATTGAACGGATTGACGGATGAATAAGAATCGGTTAGGCGATTTAAATTTTTATAAATTTTGAACATAATACTTGTCAACTTTTTTATTTTATTTTATAATAATCTAACTCAACATAATCAAAAGATTATCAAGTAAATTGTCAAATATCAATAATACATACATGTAAAAAAATCATGTATTATCAAAACTATTTGGTTTTTTTTTTTATTATTCAAAAACTATTTAATCTAAATTTTTTTTTTTAAATGACAAATTAAGTCTAAATTTTTCACACAAAAATATAAAATATCAACACTTGTTATTTGATAAAAGGAATTTCAAATTGAAGATAAAATGAAGATATCTAAACAAATTAAAAATACAAAGCCTTATAAATTATGAGGTATGTATGGTAGTGGGTGTCCTTGAACTTCGATAAGGCTTACAGCTCTGTTTGGTTCAGTTTAATGTGAGGTTCTTATAACTTATTTTACAAATTAAAAAAAATTAATTATCTAAAAATTGAGTTTTTAATTTATAATTAGTTGCAAAGGAGGTTCATAACGAGTTAACTTCGCTCCTCTAGCTTAACCACTACTTTACATCAAAATCAAAAAATAGAAAGCAAGGCCTTGCTGGGGAAAAGCTACTGCTACTGCTACTACTACTGCACTTGCAATGCAAGGTTATGGGGTCGTCTGCTGAACAAAAAATAAAATAAAATAAACATTTGGGATTTTAATTTTATTCTTGTTATTCTGTACAATCTCTTTATCTGTAATTTTTTTTTTTTTTTTTGAGACAAATAAATTATACATCAATAGAACTGTCATTATCCTGTATTGATCAACTTGATTCTGTTTCTGGTTTATTTTTCTTAACTGTATTTAACATCTCTCTTTCAACCGGGTCTCCATCCCCCCTATAATTTACCTATATTTTTTTTTAATTTCACACTATAGGTTTTGATTTTGATTTTGATTTTTTCGAAGAGCAGGGTTGCGATTTGGATGATGACTTCTACAAAAGGATTGCATTATTCAGTGAATAACTTCATATATAATCTAGATCAAGTGAGATATTGCGCCAGTGGTAAGTAATTTCAGAAATGGAGAGAGCATGAGTGGAAAGAACATGATTTGGTAATGGTGGATCTTGACTTGGAACTTGGATGCTGCCAGTTTTATTTTTGGCTTTTGTTGTTATCCTCACATTTGGGTAAAGCTGGATTGCTCTGCTACTGCTGTTGAAAACGTAAAAATGGAAGCACAAAGCAGAAAGATAGAGGAAAAAGGACTTTTAGGTGTACTCAAAAAGTTATGGGATTAAATGGTGTTCACATGTTCCACATGGGACCTATGGGTAATTTCCCCTTGACTATTTTAGCCAAAAGAAAACCCAAAAAAAACTTATCACAAACGGGCCTAAGTGGATTATTTAAACTTTTGAGTTGCTGCATTATTAAGGATGGCCTAGTTTTGTTTTGTTTTGTTTTATTTTGTTTGGTTTGGATGCTTTTGAGTTGCTGCATTATTAAGGATGGCCTAGTTTTGTTTTGTTTTGTTTTATTTTGTTTGGTTTGGATGTGTTCCCTTCATCTGATCCAAAAAAATAAATAAATAGACACTATTCAGTATGTTTAGTGTGTTTAGTTTGACTTTTTTGAATTAAGTTTTTTAAAAATTAAGTCTTTTATTTTTTGTATTTTTTATTTTTAGTGAATATTTTTAAAATTTTAAGCATTTTTTTACTTTTTTAGATGGATTTTACTAGATGTGTCTAAAAAGTAAAATATTTGTGAAAAATTATTTTAAAAAATTAATAAATACAAAAATACGAAAAATGTATTTGAATTTCGTAATTTTTTTGTATTTTTGGTATTTAATGAATTTTTTAAAGATTTTTTTCACAAAAATTATACTTTGTAAGTGTATTTATGTTAGGAGTGTCTAAAAATTAAAAAAAAAATTACTTAAAATATTAAAAAAATTGAGTAACAAAAATATGAAAAACAAAAAAGTAGAATTTTCTAGAAAGTGTTTTTAGAAAACTCAAATCAAGTAATTGTAAGGAAAAACAGATATTGTCATGGCTTCAAAAAAATGAACTCAAATTGTGTCACCTAGACAGTTTTTTAAAAGATTTAAATATTAAGCTGTTTTCTACTCATTAATTCATTAAAAATTAGTTGAATATTTTTTTGTTCTCATCCAATATAAGTTTTGTAATTTGGTAAACATAATTTAAATCATTAATTTGTAAAAATTGTTGCCGTGGACCCTTCAGCAAAAATTGAAAACTTTACAATGTATTATTATTGATTTTTCATTTGAGGTCTTTTAATATTTAATTTATTTTAAACTATCATCTACTATTCGAATTAACCAAAATACCCGCTACTACTTCCACAAACTAGCTTATTTATTTATTTCAAATCCTCAAAATCAAAATTTATACTTTGTCCCGACTTGTGAGTGCAACATGAAAGCCGAAATATTGTGGATAATTAGCATTTTGGAGGAAAAAATAAAATCTTGCCAAGCTTAATAAAAGGAAAATGTGATAAGAAAAGGAAAACAATGTTGTATTAATATTATTTTCTATTTGATTCATTTGAATGAGATAGAATAATTATTCCTTAGATTATTTTGTAGAATGATGATTCCCTTATAATCGGGAATGACAATTCATTACAATGCATTTTCTTCTAATCAACTAAACATAATAATAGACATTTTGATAGAACAACCATTTTATTTTAATGTACATAATATACCTATTGATATTGATAGGCATCCAAGAGAGCCCAAGCCCACGGTTTGGGTAATACTAGACCAGGACTAACAACATAATGAGCATCCAAGAGGGTCCGGCCCACGACTCAGGACTCTGCTCATGGGCTAGATATTAAAGCCCAATAACCTTAAAAAACTACTGATGGATCAGGACCAATAGCATTCAAACACATGTTGGGCAGGGAATCGGCCATGTATGCAGACAAAAATCCTGTAAAGTTATTGCACCCACACATCAGCCATTAACAAGTCCCTCGTAGCATTAAATGTGACAACCCCTTCACATCGGAGGATACAGACTCACCATGAAAGATGCGCGCTAGAATATAAACTTTCGGCCAACAAGACAGTCTAAAATGGATAAGGAAATAATGAGTAAAGGATATAAAGAAACCTTCGAGATACGTTAAAGGTTAAGTTCTTCCTCCGTCTCTTCTATCTATCTATAATCACTCTTTTCCAAACCTAAATTGATCGTCGGAGAATCCCTTCCCGCTCCGGACCTTTTTGCAGGCTCATCTGGGAAACATCGAAGCTAGCAGACCCGTTAAAAGCGTGGATCAGTTCGACCCATCCTCCTGCTAGAACCGTAACATCATCGCCTATGATTAATTTAGGCTACTTTTAGCTCCTAGCTTGAAGTAGGTTTTTTTTTTGTTTTTTTTAGGGGGGGGGATTTCTTGTCTTTGGTGATATTCTTAATTTTAAATTATTTTTTAAAAAAATCATATAATTTAGGTGGATTAAAAACATGAAAAGTTTTGATTCAAAATAAAATAAAAAAATAGAAATCTTTTTTTGTAAACTTTAACAAATATATATAAAAAGAGAAGATAGTCAAATTCAGTGTTAAGAGTTCTATTTTCAACTATTAACTCAAGTTTCAAAGTGTTGTATATCAAACTGTTATTTTAAAGCAGATTTTTTTTGTCTAGTTAAAAATAAATAAATAAAATGCATGGAAAAGTTTATAAAATTATTTTTTAATGTCATAAAATTTATCATTAATATGTAAATATTTTTTGTAAGTTGAATTGAAATGAAATTATTCCTATTTTTGTTTCTCTTTTTATTTTCACACATGTGGTGAATTGGTTTGGAAATACTCTCTAGATCCAGGGGGACACTCGTGATCCTCAGTTGGTAACCTAAAAAAGAATGAACACTCCGGTCGGGGGTGTCGGAATTAGCACTCTGATGGATAAGTCAATGTATACTCTCTAGATTGCTTGTATCTTAAGTCAAGCATACTAATTCTCACCTACCTCTCTCAGGATGCTGTTCTTCTATTTATATCTTTTTCTTTCTTGGATTTCAGGGCTGGGCCCACCTTCATTTCGTCGTATAACTATTTACTCGGCTTCTTTGCTCTTCACTCGGTCCCTTACTCAACTGGTTATTTGGCCGAATAGGGTATTGCTGGATTTGCATGTATAAGATGGGGCCGAATGCGATATATGAATTTCGACTCTCCGGGTCCAACTATTCAGCCTCCTTACGTGTCTCAATATTCGTCCCTCACAACACACTATTATCAATTGTTACCAAAAAAAAAGTATTATCAATCATTACCAAAAAAGTATAAAGAAAAGTCATTGTTGTCAAAAAAAAAGTTTCTAAAAAAGTCATTTGCTGCTGCGGGTTCAAGCCTCATTAGTCCAAACGAATCCAATAAATACATTAGTTCAACTCTCTATTTTCTGTGAAAGGTGAAACAGGGACAGAGCAGGATTTCATCCCCCAAGAGATCTTTTATTTTTATTTTTTCTTTCGCATTTCTCGTCAAATTTGAATTTGAAAATCAATTTCATTCCAATTGCACGCTAAGCTTTTGATCTAAGTGTCCCAATCCTAATAATCTAAATGAGGAAGATAAAAGAAAGATAAAGATCAACTAAGGATCCCACC